CCATCCTGATACTCATTCAGATTCATCTTCTCAGATACAGTTCAGATACGCTCCAGACATGGATGCCATTTTGATACTCATTCAGATTCAGCTTCTCATATACATTTCAGATACGCTCCAGACACGGATGCCATCCTAATACTTATTCAGATTCAGCTTCTCAGATACAGTTCAGATACACTCCAGACACAGATGCCATTCTGATACTCATTCAGTTTCAACTCTCAGATATAGTTCAGATACGCTCCAGGCACGGATGCCATTCTGATACTCATTCAGATTCAGTGTGTCAGATATAGTTCAGATACGCTCTAGATACTGACGCCATTCTGATACTCATTCCGTTTCAACTTACAAATACTGTTCAACAATCATTTCTGGATGGCATCTACAGGCCCATCTCCAGCAACTTTTCATCATCCCTCCAAATGGAATCTTTAATCACATTCCCTATACTATCAATCATCACACCACCGAGTGAAAATTTCTAGGCATTCTAGTGTTCAATCATCTTCCACCTTTGAGTCACAAATGGCAAAACTTGCAATATAACTCTTCAAGCTTAAGAATATTGAACAGGGGTAGCTGTTGTACCCAAAAAATTTCCCTCTCGTTTAATAATAATTTGCTCACAAGATCTCTTTTGGCTCAAGACTGCACTAAGGTTGATCAGCTCAAGACACCTCCTTAAGCATTGATGACCAAAATTAGGGTTTGAGATTGCACAAGGATATTTGAACTTCCAATGCCCCATATTAATTTAATGGATCATTATGGGCCCTCAAGTTTACTCATGCCAAGTTTCAAGCTTTGATCACACTTTTGCTCAGTCAATTGAATAGTTGACCTAAAAATCAGTTGTATTGGAGAAAAAGTCAACTATGGCCAAATTACAGTGAAACTTCATAATTTTTGATCCACATATACATTTTAAACTCATATGAATCATTTCATCAAGTTTGGACCACAATTCCTCAAGAAATTTGATCAAATCTTCAAAAGGGCAAAATAATCAAAATTAGGGTTTTGACTGGGAAAGGGCAATTTTTTATTTTTGACCTAGCAAATGATCAATTGGTTTAAGGCATGATCTCAAGAGTCCAATTGCATCATTTTGACCTAATGACATGGCTCAAAACATTGAAGTTCAATGGATTGACAGATGAATTTTCAGTCAACTGTATACTGAAAAGTCAAACTTTGACTTTTTGGTCAAAATCAAATGCCAAAGATCACAAATCATCAAAGTATGTCAAAATATGAAAATTATTCATCAAGAAATCAAAAATTCAAGATTTCATTTTGAAAAGTGAAAATTTCTAAACTTAGAAATTTTTCTAAGTGTTGGAAATTTCTTATTTTTTCACAACTTTGAGCAAAATTTTCACCATGATGCAAGCTGATTCAGAAGAAACTTCCAACATGAAAGTTGTAGATCTCCATGAAATATACAACATTGCTTTACACAACTCCTTCCAAAAGTGCTTGGATCTCAAGTTATAATTTTAAGAACACATGGTCATGAAACAAAACACTTAGTGAAATTTTTGCCCTAATTTGGTCAGGATTTTGACCCAACTTCATGACACTTTTTCATATAGTTCCAAGGGGAATATTCAAAGGTAATTTAAATATGTGTTATAGAGAACATTACAAGCTTTCCAAAATGTCTAAGAACTCCTTGAGATCATTCTTGAGTAGGGAGAACCGAATAGATGAAGTTAGGGTTTTATCACTTGAATTACAAGTTATTTTGTGATGAACAAATTCAAAATTCAAAGTTATGTTGCATAACCTCTACTTTGCAGGCCTCAAACTTGTTAGGAACTCCATAATTAATTGTTTTCACAGTTGTTAAAGGTCTCATTTCAAGCATTCAATGCAAGGCCATGCTTTATATCCATTTTGGGAAGAAAGTGCATATTGCCATTTTGATAAAGTGACTTTTTGCACAAAACTTGTTCTTGAGTCTTGCACTTGTTCTCTTCTGATCATACAAGTCCCATAACTCATAAGAAACTTGTTAGACAGTTACAATCACCCATCCCATGCTTGTACCTCCTCTTGAAACTTATTTTCCATTTTTTCTTAAAAATCAAGTAACCTAGCCATTAGCTTGTAACTTGTACTTCTGATTGTCCAAAGCTCTCAAACCCTTTTGCTTATACATACACAAACCATTTGCCACAAATATCACGCATGCTTGACCCCCCAAAACACCAAGAGCTCAGAATTGCATCACATACCTCCATTGTTGCCTAACCTGACCAAAAGTTTGAAACCCACATCTCCCTCGTGCGTTTTCAAGCCTTTTGGTTCCTAAAGTTTCTAAACGTCATTTAGAACTCATCCCACACTCTGTTACAAGACTGTAACACCATTAAAACCATCCTCCATTCTCAAAAACAGAGCTTTGCACTTGGACTTCTCCAGAACTCCTCAGGCACTTTCAGCTCAAGCTAAGCATCCCATTAGCTTCCTGGGAACTTGAGGAAGCTAACCCAATCATTGGAACTCACTTAAAGCTTCTCAAACTCCAAACCTGATACCCTCTTGCAAGGTAAGTTTTCTAACTTTGGAACTTTTCATACAGGCATCATCAATGATTTATTTGTGAACGAAAAATGTAGATATCATTGCCCTAAAGATAACCATGTCCATAGTTTTCATTAATTTTGTTTGAGCTTAGAGAATTTTAAGATTGAAGTTTCTGAGATTTTTAGGGTTCAGAATAGGGCCATTAAAATTCATGTTTATCTTTGAGCTATAATTATTTTGCTTTGCATTTCTGAAATCGTGAGGAAATTTGCTACAAGTTTCATGTTTACAATTTTCATTTTTGTTGAGATTTGAACAAGATCCAGAGGCTCTAGTTGGGCGTGAGGTTGAAGACGAAGTTCAGGCCATGGACTTGTTTACTATCATATATTTATTGTTTTGATTATATAAACAAATGTATAGCCACCCCAGTGGTAGAAGCGCGCGCCTGTGACTTGAGGTACCTGAGTTCGAGCCCCAGTGATATCCTTTTGATTTTTTTCATATTTTCCCTATTTTGACTTTTTTGGACAAGCGCCGGGCCTCCTCCTTGGGCCTTGTTGTTTTTTTTTTACTTTCTGGCCCCCTGTTTCACTTACACAGCCCCTGGCCCATTTTTATTTCTTTTTCTTATTTTTATTTATTTATTTTCTTAAATATTTTATCTAATATTAAAAAAATCATTAAAAAATATAAAAATATTAGATTTTTATTTTGACATAGTTTATTTATTTTTTATCACAAAAATTTATTTTATTTAATCATACTTTATTTATTTCACTAATTGTTTTGTAAATTCAATTAAAAACTAGGGTTTAGTTATTTTCTTTTACACAATTTAAAATATATTATTTTAAAATATAAAAAAGACCAAAAATATTTTATAATACTATAAATTATTTTTAAGACAAAAATACCAAAAATATTCTTCTTACAAACTTATTTTCTTTTAATCAATTAATAGATTAGGGTTTTATTTAATTTCTTTTCCTAGTAAATTTAGGTTTACTCTTTGTTATTTTAATTAATTATTTTCTTAGTTAATTAGATTAAAACAAAATCCTTTTTCCCTAAAAAATCCAACAAAAAGGTTCATTTTCTTCACATTTGTATTCTTGTATATTTATTCATTTTGTACATTATTTATTTCAATTCTTATACCAATTCGATATGGTTATAATAGATTAACTAGGTTTATTTTCTTGCAATCCCCATTTATAATTTGTACACCCCCTCCCACAAGTATTGTAATAGCGTAGTAATTTTAAATTCCGCAATTTATCGCTTTTATATACAAATGCTAGTAATTAGGATTTGTATGGAAAGACTAAAACTAATCAATTAGAAAACTCTAATCAAAGACAAAAATCAAGCATGAAAACAATACACTTGCACACAAGCACCCCTAGGGTAAATCCACTTGGTTGCCTTACAAAATGGTCATATTACGCATGTGAGGTATCTTAGCAAAAACAAGCAAAATACAAGATCATAGTCCCTCGATGACGCTATCTAAGTTGCCTTTCAAATGATCTTAGTCCCTAAAGAGAATGCTAAGATACCTTGCAACATTTCTAATTATGGTTATACGATGACCCGTGCCCGTCCCATTTACATCCAAAGATAGGGTTACTTACCAAATCAATGGTAAGATAACAATGTCAAAGGAAAGGGAAAATGAACATGAAAGACTTTTGAGTAGGTAAAATGCTCCTAATTACTTGCTCGATTTCAAAACAAAATATCCTTGCTATTTTAAAAAACAAACACCTACACTTTCAAAACATCTTACAAAAATTGAAAACATTTTCAAAAGATCAACACTTTGTATACATTCTTACAAACAAGAATGATTACAAAGTTTGCCTAAACAATGGCCTCTTTACAAAATACTTTCAAAAAATCACACAAAGCACAATTTCAAACAAAAGAAAGTGATCTAGTAAGTAAATAAGAGCCCATGGAAAAATATGGATGAAAAGGGTGCTAATACCTTCCCTTTTCATAATCTACCCCCCAAACTCAAGAAATAATCTCAAAGGTCTTTCCTGTGCTTTTTCACCTTTCCTTTTGGATAAAAGAAAAGTCGGTGGCGACTCTTGCTAACCGCAACATTTGCGATCAAATGCAAAACCTTCAAGTCAGTTCTCCCACCGTATCACAAGTATTATCTTCAGCATTATCATATTTATATTCCATAATGTTTTCCTGGTGTCTGGATCTACAATCTGCAGCTCTATGCCCAAATTTCCCACAATTATAACAATTAAAATTAATTCTTTCTTGAAAGTTATTACCTCTTCCTCTTCCTCGATTACTAGACCAGAAATTATTTTCACCCTCGTCCTTGAATGGGTGACTTGTTATAGTTATCTCTTCCCTGGCTGAAATTTTCACGTCTTCTTCCTCTAAAATTTCCTCGGCCTCTACCTCTATAGTTTCCTCTTCTTCCATTATTATAATCACGACCTCTCATTAATACTCTGACTGGATTCAACAACGTTGTTGAAACTCACCTGGCTTTTCAAAGCCTCTTCACTGACTTTTTCTGTCTTCTCCAAGATTCTGCTTACGTGGCTTTCAATGCTTCCTTGCAATTCTGCTACTGTCATTTTGTCTAGGTCGTGGGTCTCAATTATTGTAGTCACCACATGGTCAAACTTTATTGGTATGGTACGTAGAATTTTCTCCACTACTTTACCATCAGATATGTCTTCTCCGTACACCGTCATCTTATTGACAAGATCTTGAGCAAGTGAGAAATATTGTTCAACGGTTTCTGAGTTTGACATCTCATACCGTTCATATTCTCTGCGCATCGATTGCAGTTTTGTTTTCTGAGTTTTTTCTACTCCTTTGCACGATAATTTCAATTTGTCCCATGCGTCCTTAGCATTTTTAGCATCTGCTATTTTTTCAAAAATCGAAAAGTCTACTCCTTGATAAATTTATGATAGTGCTAATTGATCCTTCTTTTTAGTGGCATCATCAACTCCTTCTTCCAAGCCAGGTTCAATGAAGTTCCAAATACTGTGAGCTTTTAAATGGATAGACATCAATTTTTCCCAGTAATTGAAATCAAGCTTTCCATCTAATTTGAGACCGGACCAGACAATATTATAGTTGGTTGTCATTTTCTTTCCTATAATAAGTGCACTAACTCAAATAAATTTAATAGGATGAGAACTCTCTTATTTCTCACTCTCTCAAATATATTTTTTTAACTAGTATCAGACTCTTAAACTCGAATACCAATTTGATATCTTAAGGACATGATAAATCAATCTACCACTCACACATTAAAAGAAAGAGAATAAATTGTTATATACAATTGAAGAAAATGCACTAAGTAATTTTTCACACACATTTTATATTAATAAGAAGATTAGCTTTTATAGCCAATGAATTACTAATAATACTTGCACAAAATTAATGATCTTATTTTATCTATTGATCTTTTTCAATTCCGTTGCTGTAATTCCGCATTGCCTCTTGAATTATTTAACTTACATTCTTAAAAATAAATATTTTATCAATTAAAATAAAGGTTAGTTAGTGAGATAATTAATAATATTTTATTAATTATAAGTAGTTAGTTAATTGAATAATCATAAAATAAATAATATTTTATTAATTAAAAAATAGTGGTTATTTTTTAAGAAATTGATAGTTAGTGGTGAGTGATGTAGTTTAGTGAGTTAATTTTTAAACTAATTATCAATGAATAAATGAGAGATCATAAATGAAGTCAGTGGGATGAAGTTAAGAAATGAAATTTCTTTACCAAAAAATCACTTAAAATATGTACCTAAAAAAAAACATGATAAAAATTAGCAAACAACAATGAAACAAAGAATTGAATAAATAAGAAATAAAAAAATAAAAACAAATTACAATATTAATAAAAGAAGAGAAATAATAAAGAATAAACTTAAACAAAGAAAATCACATAAATATTATAAATAACATAGTATAAACATAATAAGAATAATACAAATTTATTAGTTGTGTTAAAAATACTAATTGGATAATCAAATAAAGAAAATAATAAAAAACAAATATATAAAATTGTATGGACAACTCTCATAAGAAAAAATAATGAAATTTTAAAAAATGGAAGAAGAGTTACAAAAACTACACAATTTTATAATTAAAATTAAAAAAATATAAAAAAATACTAAAGTAATAATTAAATAAACCTAAAAGTTAGTGAGAGAAATTTAAGAATTGGTGGGAGAAAATTAATTTTAATAGTAACTAATAAAAAAATAAAATGAAAATATAAAATTAATAAAAGAATTTTAATTTTGACTCTAAAATTTGCTTAAAATACTTAACAATTTTGATATGTAAGATTTTAATAAATAACTAATAAAATAAAATAAAAATATAAAATTACTAAAGAAACATTAATTTTGGATTCAAAATTTACTTAAGAGATTTAACAACTTTAATATATAGGATAATAACAAAAGAATCCATTAATTTATTGATTATTCAATTGATCCGAATAAAAAAAGTATCTATTTCAAAAAGATAAGAGATATTGAATAACATAATTATTTATTTTGATATTTTTTTATTAGATTCAAAGAATATCGCCCCGTTGTTTTAACTTTTTATAAACATTGATTGATGATATTTTATAAAAAAATGAAGATTTTTTTTATATATTCAATGAATAATATTTCTAAATAAAATCGTAATAATTTAAAATTTATACTTTTTAATAAATTGATTAAATATTTATACAGTCAATCAAATCATTTAATAATTCAATCAATAAAAAACCATTTAATAATAAAATATTTTAATTAATTAAAAAATATCTTAATAAATATTTATTTAATATTATTTATTTTTAAAAATAAATCAAATATTTTTTATATGTAATTGCTGAAATTAATCTTTCAAATAAAAAAAATTACACCAAAAAGAAAATTCTCAAAAATAAAAAATATATATTTAGATAAATATGTAAAAATATTTTACATAGTTAATATGAATATTATTTATTTTATTTGTTTTTATTATTCTAATATAAATTTAATTAATTGAAATACAATGATAGAGTAAAACAGTTTTACTTATCAATGAATCATAATTATTAAATTTGTGTAGAAAATTAACTTATTTAAAATCACATATAAAGTATGGCGTATGAGTGATTATTATATAGTGACTATGTAAAATATCGACAATGTATGACAATTATTTTTTTTTAATATTTATTCAAAATTAATTTAGGAAATATAAAATTTCTAGAAGATGAATAGGTTGGTGACAAAACATTTTCAACCTTAACAACTGCCTTTTACCAACACCAACCACATTTTTTCTTTTCCTATTCAATTCATTCTCACCAACTACCAGCCCTTTTCATCCTCTTTACTTCAAACACTTTCAATTTCACTCATCACTCAACAATGGCTGCCAAAACCTACACTTTGTCTGAAGTTTCCAAGCATAACACTCCCAAAGACTGTTGGCTTGTTATCCACAACAAGGTAATGCTGTTTTTCTGATCATTTTTATTGAAATTCATATTGCATTTTAATGTTTTTGATGTAAACTATGTTAGTTAGAGGATTGCAATGGTTAGATCTATGTTAGGGTTTGGATTTGTTTTGATTGTGAAGATTAGATTATGGGTTTTGATGACTATGTAGCACCGAGACCTCTGAAAAAAGACGTGTTTCTGTCTCTGTCAGACACCTACGCCGATACTTTTGATTACGATTAGTTTATTCATTTTTTAAAATTGTTACTGGTGTCATTGTGTCGGTGTCGTGTCTGCGTGTCCTTGTGTTATTTTCAAATGGAGTGGAATTTGAACAAATTGTGATTGTTGTGTGATATAGTCTGTTTAGTATACATTGTTGTCAAATAGAGGCTATTGCGGTTGTATTGCTCTGTAGATTAGTGGAATTTTCACGATTGACAATAGTGTTTTGAAGGATGATGATTTGCTTCAAGAGGATTGATTGTAGCTGAAAGGAAACTAAACCCTAGTTTCTGGTTGATTGTTTTAATTGTTTGAAGGTTATTTGTTTTCGAAGTGCTGTGTTTGAGTTGCTGATTTCAATTTGTAGGCGTATGGAAATTTAATTTGGATTAGGGTTTTTCTTTTGATTTCGTGATTGTTTTCTTTGTGATTAAAATTGAATCACGAGACGTGCTATGTGTGATGATTAGGGAAAAGTAGACTTTGAAAGTTTAATGTAATGTGGCTACTATGGTAAACGCTGATTCACGAAGGAGAAGGACAGTGACAGACACTGGTAATTGTTTGAAAAAATGAAGGTCGTTGAATGTAACCACGTGTGTCAGTAGCAGGTGCTAACACTTGTGGGATATTGGACTCATTTTCAATCTGAAATGTCGGTGCTGTGTAGACATGAAAAATCTTCACTTATTTTCTGCATGTTTTTTTTAATCTTTTTTTGTCTTTCTTCACTGAGACACAATCAAAAGATGTAGGAATGGTTGGGAAATTTTTTTCATTCAGAACATAATCATACGTTGTGTGTTTATGATAGGGAGTCGTGACTCATGTGCATTTGGGATTAAATATATCACTGCCAGTGTTATCAAATATCCGCAATTTCTGCGCTATGGCGGATTTGGGTTCGCCGTAATGGTAAATATTGGCCGACATTGCGAGTTTTTCTGCCATAATCTGCTATAGCGGAACTGTCTAGCGTCCGGTATGGAGGGATATTGGCTTTCCACCATGGATCGCCATCAGCCATTGACAATACTCTGACTACTGCACTATTTTGTAGATTTGAGCCTTTGCTATAACTTATTGATTTATGGTCTGTTTGGATTAACTTTTCTGAGTTTATCTATGGGTATAAACACTTGTGGGACTGTTTGGGAGAGCTAATGAAAATAGTCTCACACTGACACTGACACGTCCATAGGTTGTCTTCCGCTTATTTCTGTAAGCTCTCTAGAATAGCTTATGAAAACAACCTGTTGATTATATGAAAACAATTTGACTTTATTTTATCTTTTATTATATAAGTAACTTATACATAAGCTTTTATCTGATAAGCACTTATGTATTAAGTGGTCAAATAAGTTATTTATCCAAACAGGGTTTTAATGAATAAAATTTGAACTTGAATCTTTTTTGGAACAGGTTTATGATGTGACAAAGTTCTTGGAGGACCACCCTGGTGGTGACGATGTCCTAGTATCTTCCACAGGTGTCCTACATTGTCTCTGAAATGATCTTAACTATTCAATTCACACCTCGTAATCTTACTCAAAACGAGCCGTGTTTGTGTTTGCAGGGAAAGATGCATCCGATGATTTCGACGATGTCGGTCACAGCATAACTGCAACAGCATTGCTCAACGACTTCTATGTCGGAGACATTGATTCATCAACCATCCCTTCTAAGGTTGAGTACAGTCCTCCAAAACAACCTCACTATAATCAGGACAAGACGTCCGATTTCATCATCAAGATCCTCCAATTTCTAGTTCCCTTGTTTATCTTGGGTGTTGCAGTTGGTATTCGTTTCTACAACAAATCAACATAATCATTTAAACCGCGAAAGAACTTAAATTTTTTAGCAGCATTTGCAATAAATATGTTATTTTTGACTGTTGAAAGCATATACAGTGTCATACCATGCTTGTTTGCGTTTTCCTTGTAATTTTCTGTTGAAACCCCATATTGTCTTCCGCTGTCGTTCATTTGCTACTGGAATCGGAACAGTTTTATGGAGTTTTATCAGTATAAAGTTTTGGTCTGGTGGAGTTTAATTCGTGGATTCATTTTCTTTGGGTTCCGTTTATGCTCTCGATGTTTCTTATACTATTTTCCATTTTAAATATGTTTATGGTGTGCTGTAAATGATTGTTCGCGCTTAGCGTGCTGACATAGTTGAGTTTGATTGTGTTAATGTGATGTCTTTGTATGCCGGTTTTTATTTTTTCGGAAGTTTTGGTTCATTTAGTTTCTGTCTCTCTGAATATGGTATCATCTGGACTTATGTTGATACTGTTATTCATTTAGTTTCTGATTCATTATCAGTGATATTATTAACTTTATGTCATTCTAAACTAAAGGATATAAGTATGATTAGATATACAAGGTGGAAGAACTAAGAAGTGGAATGGTTAAGGTTTGAATCTCCTTAGAGAAGAGTATCCTTAGTTCCAACTTCAAATATGCTCACAGATTTCCTAACTAAAGTTTAATAGTCTCAAGAATATTAACTATGAATGTATGAAATCCTTTTTCCACCTAAACTAAAAGTGACAAAGAACCAAATTAACTAAAAATAAACCTTTTTCCACCTAAACTAGAAGTGACAATGAACCAAATTAATGAAAAAATAAACTCGATTTGGTATAAATTCGAGACTCGATTCGGTAATGAACTCATAAAACTTGGTATGTTAGGGAGCATATGAAACAAGTTAAAAACAATTTTTAATAATGTCCCATGTTACTATTATAAACTATTTCAAGTACTATACAGTAAATTCGTTTTCCCTTCAGTCGCAATATGTCGCATTAAGGCATTCAGGACTTTTACAATTATTTGATCAAGATCAAATGATGAATATTATAAGTTAAGTGTTTTTTATTTAATATAAATTAAAATATGTACTTAAATTTAGACAGTTAGATCTTAATCCAACGATTGTAAAAGTACCGAATGCATGAATACGGGGAAATAGTTATCGCAGTGGATTTGAATTCCTATACAAGTGCTTATGTCTAAAAGAACTATTTAGGTTTCATGTTACTCGTGTATAATCTTAGATAATAGTTTTGTCTACTTAAGGTATTAAATAATCAAAGTATAGTTGATAAAGCAATACAATATATGAGTCCAATCATTTGGTTGAAACCAATAATTAGATTAAAAAAACTTGGAACAGTATAATAATGTCTGAGTTTGCATGCGTGTAATCTTTGTTACCACTTAACACGCTCAGAGAATTCACTCAAGTTAACATCATTTCTTCCACCCAAAAATAATAATGAGTTCAGGAACATAGATACCAGTTTTTACTTTTCATCTATAACAGTTGTTAAAAGTATCCCTCTAATGAGGCACCTTTAGTTGAATTTGGTATAATGTACAATCAACAATCAACACAACTCAACCAACCACCAACCAACTAGTAGTTGAGTTTAAAACAAGACACTAGTCTCCAACATTGTGGGGAATCAATGTTCAATCACAAATAAAAAATTTTACATTTAATGTTTCAAGGTGTTTTGAACATGATTATCTCCCGTTTCAAAAACTCGACAAAAAAAAAAAGAGTCTAATAGAATGAGCTAGACTCTCAAAATATAGTAAACTGAAGTTTAAATTTTGGTTAGAAGAAGTATTCGTATTTGATCTTCGACACGTTTCAAATGAAGGCTTACACAAGACTTGGAGTGGATAATACTTCGGAAAATCGATGCAACAGACTCGAAGTCGGAACATGTACAAACACATAGGTTTTTAATAGGGGTGGTGGCAAAACAGGCATGGCCTACCGCGCAATGCCCGTTTCTCACATTTTTATTCGAGACGGGTCAAAGTTTTAAACCTGCATCCTCTAATGCGTTTGCCCCGTCTCGCCTGTTTTTTTCAGGCTTTTGTGTGGCAGGCTTAAACGGGGCGGCATGCTGGTTTGCCACCCTAGTTTCCAAAAGGAGCTAACATAAGAAAAAATGAAGTGAATATATCACAATGAGCATAGCTTACACTTTCCAAATGAGTACATTGAAAAACAAAGACAAGAAAAAAATCGGAAACTAGCTATACATTTACCTATTCTGTGCTAGCACAAGTTCTCTCAATCACCTTTGAATCTGTTCTATGAGAATTCCTAGATGGAGAACTTGTTTCTCTAGAAGAACTATGTCCAAAGAGACTAAGCCTACTAATTTTTTTCGAAAAAGAACTCATAAATTTACGCGACCCTGATTTTGCCATGTCCCTCTTCATGCAAACATGCTCCCTCTCTAGATCATTTAGTCTCATTCTTAGTCGAGCCAATTCGAGTTTTAACTCACGATTCTCACGCCTCAATGATGCGTAGTTATCGCGTGGAGACATTGCCGCACTTAGTGCACCGCTACTTATGCGCCACGACGCGTGCATTGGCTTGATGTCATCGTCCCCGTTGGTGGTGGACAATGAATTTCTTAGCTTTAGTTGTTCGAAATATAGAACTTGCACTATTGATTGTAGAGGAAGACGCTCGTTTTGCGCCGCGTGCGCTCCAGCTTCTTGAGTAAGCTTTTGAAAATCGATTAGTTTGCATAGTTTCTTCTTGTCCAAGTCTGATAAACCTTGATGAGCCTGAAAATGCATTTACAGATAGAATCAGCTTATCGTTAACCTTGTTCATTGGAAATAGCATAATCACATAAAAAAACATACTTTTAAGTAAATATCGATAGCTCGATATAAGCCGTCATGAACGGTACGCGCATGTGCTGGCAATGTTTCTGCAATGACCAAAAACTTAGAAAGCTTCAAGTTTGCATCAGGTGCAATTTCAGCGAGGTAGTTGTCGACTAATTTCGACACCTTGACTAACGAAGTTTGCGAGGGCGAACGAGGGCTATCGGATTCGAAAAGAGAACCATCTTCTAGATCATCATCACTATCATCCTGCTGACTGAAGTTAACTAGAAGTCTATGAACTGTGTCAACATCAAATAAGGTATCACCCGAATGCTTGAAAGACGGAATCAAAATATCATCGAGCGTTGATTGATCCAACTGCGATCCAATCCTTCTTTCCAAGTCAAGTCTAGAGGAAATCGCGCAATCAAGCATCACCGCGCTTCGCAGAAGCCCGAAAAGGAAATGAATCGGAACAACAAGTTTCTCAACTGGCAAAAGGCTTACAATAGTCTCAACGACGAGCTTTTCATGCAAAGTTGAATTTGATTCGGTTTTACTCTGGCTAGATTGATTCCAGGGAGCCGGTTTCTTTGTCAATTCTTTCTCTGCGTAGTTCACAAGGGAAGCACCGATACTTTCTGGCCGAACGCCACGACACTTCATGGCTGTTATGACTCGTTGATACATGTCGATCCTTAAAACCGAAATATCTTCTATCCACCAATCACCACCACATTTGGCTTGCCTGCTCATGTGCAGCCTACCCGAGCTGCTATACTCTAATCTCGAGAAACTAGAAGCAATTTGTTCGGCGCAAGTTTTTGAAGCTATCGCGTCAATGCAACGCATAACTATTTTGAGCTCGTCCGCGAGAGGAATTAAACTTTCGCATTGTTGCAAGACTTCAACACACATTTCAAGATTCTTGCAGACAATACAATCGAGATATTCCTCGGCTCTCGAACCAAGATTGTCTTTTGAGAAATCATCGGTCATTTCGAGGTAGTCGGAGACACAACAGAGCTGTGCAACATTTGTGGATGTGATCTCGAAGTTAATACCGTAACAGAATTTGGCAGCCAATTCAAAGCATTCAGCCCCTCCTGGTAGATTAAGAAGCTCAACTCTTGAGATATCAGAATCTCGGTGTTCTGCAACTAATCTTCGAATTCTACCACTTCGAGAAACGAGAGGAAACTACATACCAAAATCACAACAGTTAGAACAATTACGTTTCCTCCGTGATTTTGACAAAAGCAAACTCGATAGCTTCGACAAAATCGCGGTGTCGAATTAACAGAGGTAAGTACTTACCTTGTGTAATGAAAATGTTACTCCACAAACTTCTATAGTTATGTCACTCGGTACATCGCGGAAAATCCTGCAAAATGTCAGATAAATAAATCATTCAAAAGATCAACTAATGATTTCAAAACTATAATTCAAAGTGAAAGTAAGAAGGTAGAAGAATTCATCGATAACATCGATGATTTACAATTGAGATAGATACATTATAACTAACCGTCTTTGAGAACATACAAGACAGACTATTGTACAAGGACTAAAATTTGCCATGATTAAACCGTAATTAAATAGGACTTCGATAAATGTCTATCTCAATTAAATTATAGTTAAATATTACTTCAATTTGTTTTGTCATAGTTAAACTCGACTAATCTAGATAGGGTTTTCAAAAACTTGAGACGGCTCTACATTATAGCATCATCTCATAACAATATTAGTTAAAAACAAGATCTTTGATCATTCTATTCCAGCAACAAGTTTAGTATAGATATACAAAATTAATTAGCATAAATATACAAAATGCTCAAAATTCATAAAGAAAAAATCGAACAAACAAACTACTTGTTCCGGTTAAAATTGACCAACACCAGAACAGTCGGTCAACTTTATCCGGAATAGTACACGAAATCATGGTTTTAAATTACACTCTGCAGCCGTAATTACAGCCACAATATTGCTGATGCGGTAGCCTCCGCAACTGCATTGGACCGCAATTGAGGTGTGAATTAAAATCATACGCCGGCCATCATTAGAAATCACATCAGACATTTTCGTCCATATTTTTTCAAGTATTATCATCAAAACTCAAAATTTCAAAAACCCAAAACTCAATTTATTTCATATATAACAAAAAGTCTTGATATCAAATATTTTTTAACGGTATATCTCAAACACTTCCCAATTAAAATTCACACTACATCCAAAATGCGCACCACAATGATCGCAATCACAAAACCTGCAACCGCAACAGCGACGGTAATCTAAAACCATGCTCAAAATACACACAAAAAAAAAAAACATGTAGACAATAACACAAACATAAACAACCCTTCAAGTAACAAATTTTCTAAGAATCAAACAAGAAAGAAACAAAACTCAAACAACTAAAACAAGAAACTAATAAAAGTATGAAACAAACCATTCATTGTATCTCTGTCTACCATTCTTTCCCAAAGACAACTGCTGCTGATGTTGTTGGTCAGAAGACCTGTCCATACTATAGACCGATAACAAAAACACAAAGATATACTATGAAACAGAAAGAACAAGAGAACAAGAGAATGTTAATGAAAAAGTATAGTAATAGTAGTGAGTTTAAGGTAGTTGTAGTAGTGAAGTGAAGAAAGAGAGAGTAACAAAGATTGAGATGTTGGTGTTGTGGTAGCTCTTTGAGCATTTTCATTCCACAGTTGGTGCTCAATGCATAGATTGCAATTGTCCAAACTTGTGGGACATACTTTGTTTTCTCTCATACTTAATTTATACGTTATATATATCAAACTTTATGGAGAAAAAAAAAGTTGAAAAATATATAATCATTTTGTCCTTGAATCTAGAGGGTACCCTTAGTTGAAAATCAAAGACAAATTTTTGTAATAACAACAAAAGTTATATAAAATACTATTGATGCACAATGAGTGTGTTATGAACTTTGAAGTATATATGTGAACACTGAAATATTGGTTTAAATTTCATAATGACTAATATGTTACTACATGAATTAATTAGTTACGGTTTCATTATTAATTATGTATTTAAAGTAAATTTAATTCAGTAAAAAACGTAATTTGATTAATTGAATTGGATATACCATGACCTGTCTGTAAAACTAATAATTGATTTGAAGTTTAATTTCAATTTTTTTTAAAAATTTAAAGTAAATACTTATACCTAATGCGTATATATTATTCATTATATTTATACGGTAAATAACATTTTTTTGAGTTATTTTTTTGAGTTAATAGTCATTAATCTCAGTAATATAGGCGAGTGTTAGTTTACCTTTTTCTTTAATTTTTTTTTATACATGCTTTAAAATATTAAAATTTTAAGTTTTTTATCCTTCAAGTGTAAATATTATATCTTTTAATTTTTTTTATTTACTTTCCTCATTTTTATACACTTAAGGGATATCCAAAAAATTATAGAGAAATAATCAAATGTTTTTTTTTAAAACGAGTAAATCAAAACTCGTCCATATTACAGGGATAAATGACTATTAACCATTTTTTTAATAAAATAATATTATTTTTAAAACTTATTTTATAACACGATTATAAATTTGTATTATTAACTAACTTCACAACTTTATTAATCAGAAAAATATACGTTATTAATCAGTTATTTTACTTATAAATCATTAACCAAGTTCACTACTTCATTAACCACTAAAATACATATTATTAATCATATTTTAACACTAATTTATAAATATATTAACTAAAATCTGTATTATATACATATTAAAAAATTTATATCAAAATATATATTAATCAAATTTTAAATTGTATTAATCAAATTTTAATATTTTATTAACTAAACTAATTTTAGAGAAAAATATATTTAAAAAAATTAAAATAATATAAACATACTATTTACATATTTGCGAACACTATATACAATATAGTGTAAAAAAATATATTGAAATAGTATTTTTCATAAATGAAATATCGAGTGTTCAACTCGTACTCATATAACTGAGTTCCTTTATTAGACTACAATTGACCTGATTTAATAAGAATAAAAAGTATACTTTTATATGAATAGAGTTGTAATTATAGCTATGTCAAATATTCTAAAAATGTAGAGATCATAAACTAAATAATAACAAAATTTTCTAATTCTTATAACACTCAAATTTCTTCATTGATTCGGTGCTTTTCTATTTATTTATTCTTCTGCCATTCATTTTCAACGCTGAACAGATGAAAAAAGTGGAAAGATGTAACAAAAAAAGTCAAAAAATGTCACTTTACATAGGAAAAAAAGGAACAAAAGCATGAACAAAAGTTGTTAAGCTGGTTTTGACAATTTAGTCATGTTACTCTTTCTGTCCCATTTTACTTCAAATTTAATCATTTTCTCTCTTTCAATAAATATTGCTGTTTTTGTCAACAATGTGAATCAATATTTCTATTTGAGTCTTTGTTATTTTTAATATTAAAAATAAAGGCAGTGTCTGGTTATCAAGAAACATATGCAAATTACTTTTGTGCAGAATTTATGGACTCCTTTGATAACGGTGAGTTTTCTACTATTATATAAATTTGTCTTGTTTATTTTGACAATGTGACGACAATATAATAATATTTTAATGGAAATATACAATAATTCATTTTTTTACTTCATCAAAAAATTTGGCTACAAAATCTAATTAATAAGAAAGTGGTTTCAATTTGTTAGAAGTTTCCCTTAAGATAATTAATTATGTTGAGATGAACATTTTAGACATGTTATAGAATTTGAATGGGTCTTGGTGAATCTCAACCGCTCTTTTTTTTTTATAAAGTTTGATGAAACGAATGAAAATGTTAACTTGTGTTCTAAAATATAGGTTAATCATTCATCCATTCTTTGAACATAGAGGCGTGTTTGGATTTTATTAAGTGTCAAGTTGAGTTTTGAACTTCCATCTTCTAACCACTTTGATTCATTCACATTTATAGTCATAAAAGATAACTCCTTCAAAGAAAAATAAATCATCATAAGTATTGTACTTGACACACAACCACTCAGGCCAGTTGAAGAGACATTAAAGGATTATGATTCATCCTTTAAAGAGGAAGAAGAGAAAGATGAAGTTGCAAGTTCTCAAGCTACCACCCTTTCTATGAAATCCTCACATAATGTAGAGAAAGATAAGGAAGGTAAAGAGAATGAAACTTCTTCGAAAGCCTTACCAAAACCATAGATTTGAAAGTTCATAATACTCTTTTCGTCGCACCTTGGGATCTAATAAGAGGGTTAAGAAGTGTACGATTTGACCTAAGTAATTTCTAAAGTATAATGCAATTTCTATTGTCTCTCTCAAAGATCTTCTTTCTCCTCATGGTGATCCGAAAGACTCTAAAATTTAAGCCTCTCCTAGTGGTAAAGTTTTTGTTCTGTTATAGAATCATAGTTGATTGGCAAGCGAGGAAGAAAGACTTCATGTGGTGGTCCTGAGTTCTCGATGCGGTGGAGAAGGGGTTGACATGCAAGGTTATCACTCAAATGTTTAAGTTAGTAAGAGAGTGGAAAGAGGAGTGTGAATGAGAATACCTAATAAATTGAGTGTTTTTCCTCTTACATGGGAGAAACAATTTGTAACTGAAAGTGTGGACTAAGGTGTTGATCGCGGTTAATCGTTAGATAGATTTGGACGGTCAGAAGATCTCATGAACACAAATTTGTCTTCTCAAATGGGGAATAGAGTCTACGTGCTCTACGCTTGATTCATTTCGCCTTGCTACTAGGCCTTCATCGATGGGCCATATGGTTAGGTAAGAACAATTATCCTCCCAGGCCCTTACTTTTGCTCTGCAGGATGAGGGTTTGTAATATGTGCTCCTATCCAACCACTGGATCTGAGATGTGAAAGCCTTTGATGGGACGTCGATGTCATCAGGAATAAGTCCTTTAAATGCTTTTCTTGTAATAGAAACCATCTTGCTAGGAACAAGTGACATGTGTCCCTACGCTTGTTGGTGATGATGTTTCCTCTTCCTTAGAGCACTTGAGTACTTTGAACAATTTTTGAGCAAATCTGAATCATTATTGTTGTGAAGTGGAATGTATCATTCTTAGTGAATGAATATACTATAAGAGGCTTATGAAGTATCATTTTTACCTTTTTTACCATTAGTGACTTGCAAAAGAGTTCTTTTTGCTTCCTTTATTATTTTTCTTTGCGAGCTTCCTCATTTCAACATTTGATCAAGTTCACATGATCTTGTTCGTTGGTAATTAACGTGCATGTTGGGATAATTCTTCCAAAGTTGGCATAAGTTGATAATTGGGAAATGTGAAGCAATGGTATAGAGGATCAAAGAACTGAAAGAGCACCTTCATCATGTCTTCATCAGTGTTGGAGGTAACCAAATTTAGTAGGCGACCATGTCTTTCGGTAAATGGAGAATTTTCAGGAATCCTTGATGTTAACTCTTTGAGTTAAAGAGGGATCCTTACGAGATTGACTTGAATGATTTTCCTGCGAATAGAATCCATGTCCTACAAAACAGAACAAAGATAAATCCCAAAAATCCTTGAAACGGTTAGTGAGTATGAGTATGATGTTATGATGTTTATGATGTTATGTACAAGTAAGTATACACAAACAAAGCAAATAAATCCTTAGGTTTAGGCTTGCATGGAGTCTTATAGGTAAGTACCCTCTTGAAGTTTAGTTGGCTCAAACCTGTCCTAGTAATAGTAACCGGGTTCTAAGGAGCTCAATATCACTTGTTTGTTTTCTCGGGCATTGTTTCAGTATAAGCCTCTTTAATAGCGATCAAAATATACCAAAAAACAAACCTCAATGAGTGTAGTATCGAGTATCTACCAACTTCGGACTGCACCAAAGTCGGTCATCTCACTATGTCCTAAAGGCCAAGTTGGTCAAGTAAAGGTTCTAAAAGTTCATTAGTGCTTCACGACATCACTCAGCAGCCCCGTATTCTCCTTGACTACTCAAGGGCTATCGGTATCCACAAATATGTCGCACTAACATAGCTATTTCTTAGACCATGTCGGTATACCCCGCACAGTTTCCACAATGTATTGCTACTTACCTATAAGGTATCCCAAATCCGGGTAGAGGATTCAAACCCAAACGAATAACCATAATGTAAAGCATACAAGTCAAACAAAGAAAAGCAAGTAAATGTGATCTATCCCTAAGGTAACCCCACTTTTAGAATTTCCCCAGCAGAGTCGCCAATTCTGTGATGCGGTAGGAGAACTGACTTGGTTGTTTTACATTTTATCGCAAATATTATGGTTAGCAAGAGTCGCCACCGACTTTTCTTTTATCCAAAAGGAAAGGTGAAAAAGCACAGGAAAGACCTTTGAGATTATTTCTTGAGTTCGGGGGGGGGGGGGGGGGGGGGGTAGATTATGAAAAGAGAAGGTATTAGCACCCTTTTCATCCATGGTTTTCCATGGGCTCTTAGTTACTTGCTAGATCACTTGCTTTTGTTTGAAAATATGCTTTGTGTGGTTTTTTGAAAGTATTTTGA